CACTTGTGTTTCACCCAGGGCACCCTGCCTGAGCTGTAAAGCAACCTGAGATGGCTGTTACTTGTGCTGAGTTTAGAGATTCCCAGATGAAGCCAAACTGTGACTCTAATCTGGCTGCCACTAGGGCTCACTGACGCCAGCTGTTGCTTGTTTGATAGGATTTAGGAGTCAAGACGAGCCATTCTTACAGAAAAGCAGCTGGGGTGGGCATGAAAGTTGGGTGGGGTAGAGCCTCTGTGGATCTCCAAGGTAGGTCACACAGTGTTAACCAGGTCGAAGGAGTCTCAGATATGGCACCAGCCTACTGGCTCTGTGTGGGAGAGGACTCAGCAAAGGGACAATGGCCTGTGCTTGCCCCAATGCTAGACACTTCAGTCTCTCTCTGTATACCACTGGTGCCTTTCAAGCTGCCGTCCCAGTGCTGGAGCTCAGAGAGAGCGAGTCTGAGTAGGTGAGTCCGTGTATGGGTTCCCCAAGAGGAACTGCTTATGGCTCCAGCAGCCTCCTCCACTGAATCAATCACTGCTGGTTTTTGCAGCCCGAAGTTGTGGGGACTTATCTTTCTGGGACGGGATTCCTGGGCTGGGGGGCCTGATGTGGGTCTGGGACTCCTTGCTTCTGAGGTATCCCTCTGAAATTTTCATCCATGTGGGTGTGAGGCCAGCCCATTCTGTATCCACACACTCCTACGAGTCTGGATGGATGTGTTTTCTTTAATTCCATAGTTGTCAGACTTTCATTCAACTTGATTTCTGAAGTTTCTGAGTGATGGTGGTTCTATATTTTAGTTGTCATTTTGATGTAGTTGTGCAAAGAGGCGAGCCATGTCTGCCTACATCGCCCTCTTGACCGGAAGCCACAATCTTTTTTTAAAAAAGATTTTATTCAGCCCTGACTGGTATGGTTCAGTGGATTAAGTGCTGGCTGGGTCGCCAGTTTGATTCCCAGTCTAGGACACATGCCTGGGTTGCAGGCCAGGTCCAGGGGATGCATGAGAGTCAACCACACATTGATGTTTCTCCCTCTCTATTTCTCCCTCCCTTTCCCTCTCTAAAAATAAAATAAATATCTTTTAAAAAAAGATTTTATTCATTTATCTTCAGAGAGAGGGGAAGAGAGGGAAAAGAGAGGGAGAGAAACGTCCATCACTTATCTCTTGCACATGCCCCATCCTGAGATGAACCCACAACCCAGGCATGTGCCCTGACCAGGAATCAAAACAATGACCTTACACTTTGTGGGATGATGCCCAACCAACTGAGCCACACCAGTCAGGGCACAACTTTTAATATTCTGTGTGACATAATTGGAAGTACACACAAAATAGTTTTGCTGCATACCAAAATATGATGGTTGTCTTGTGAAAAAGCCCTGTGCAGTCACTTGAGTTGTGGGCTGAATTAACCTTTTTCCCACAGAACACCATTTTTACTAAAAAAAACGACTGACAAACTGGTTATTCATACTTGAATATTAAGCAGCTATGTTCTAGCAAATCAATAAGGTGTATCTCTCATTAGAAGAAAAATAATTTAGCTGCCTCTGTGAAGGCAGTGCCAATGATTAAATTTGAGCTTTTAAGCAAAAATTAAAATTTTGAAAACTTGCATCCTTCTCTGTGAGTTTGATAGCTTTCCAGTTCTCAACGATTTTTTTGATGAGATCAGATATTAACGAATGAGATTTTTAAATAATTGTATAATGAAATGTGTCAGCATTTATAAGATTAGCATAGTTCAGTGAGTCATTATTTTCCAAAAGACTAGTTTATTATATTACAAAACCATGCATGGGTGAAAGATCCATTCGAAGTTCACAATGGACCAATGGATTTTCTCTTTCAAATTATAAGTGAAAGTTTATTTAGAAAATTACAGAGGTAGTAGAATTGAGCCAGCTGGGCTGCGAGGGCTCAGGAGATGAGTTACAGAGTCAACAGAAGAGCCATTGGAGCTTAGGAGAGACAACGGCAAAGGTAACGTGCCTGGGGTGAAGAAGAGGCGAAAGGGAATAGTGTGGGCATGCTCCAGAGAGGGGGGGCCCAGCGGACCAGTGGAGGTTTGTGTAATACAGTACGGAAAGGTCATTGTTATGGTCAGACCCCACATGGCAACTAACTTTACAAAAACTACTCCTTGTTGAATTTTGGTGTAGTATCAAAGAAGACTCTTTTCTAACTACATATATGTGTCAAGGTTGATACATATGTATGAAGCAGGTATGAGAATCCAGCTGCCTTCTATTAAGCCAGACATTAAAGAGATACGCAAAAATGTAAACGGTGCTGTTCTCATTAAATTTTTTGGAAGATAGTTTTTTTTCATAAGATGTATGTTAGCATGAAATGGGTGTACTCTTTTCAAATAAATCCATTTAAACATTTTTTTTTTATTTAAACATTTTAGAAGTTAATTTCTGAAGCTCTTTGAGGTAGTAGAAGAGTCCTAAGACCAAAATGGCTGGAAACTGCCAATTTAATTAATTCTTGTCTGTAATAAGAATCATTATAATCTGAAGTTATAAAAAAGTACTTTCATTCTAGAATTCATTCTAGAATTAATGTTAAGAAACATTGGGCCCTGGCTGGTGTTGCTCAGTGGATTGAGTGCCAGTTTGCAAATCAAGGGGATGCCAGATTGATTCCAGTCAAGGCACATGCCTGGATTGCAGGCTAGGCCACCAGTAGGGGGCGTGCAAGAGGCAACCACATATTGATTCTCTTCCTTCCCCTCTCTCTAAAAAAATAAATAAATAAAATATTTTTAAAAAAAGAAACATTGGGAAGTAATGGCAAAGAGAATGTTCCAGGCATATAGCATGAGCTTAAGACTTTCATTCTGCCCCCCTATTTTAAAAGGAGTGCATATTCATTGTAGACGGTTTGTAAAGTATAGAAGAATGCATGTTGGAAAAGAAATCATTTGTATTCTGGCCATCTGGAGATAACTTATTAATTTGATTTGTTAAGTTAAACTATTCACTGCTTATTGTGCCAAAAAGCAAGGAAATTAAAAAGGACACCACAGGCAACTTAAAGGTTCTAATGATGTTGGCCTTATTCAATTGGTTAAAGTGTTTTCTGAGAGACTTTTCCATTATGAAGTTACTCTTTTACTCTTTGTACTTGGTAAGTGTTTTTGTAGGGAGGTACTTTGAAACCACATTCCTCATCAAACTTTCCACTTATTAAAATGGACTGGGAATTCCCTATTTTACTCAATGGTTTAAGATCTATTACTGTCAATAGTTTGATGCTAGCATTGTTTCAGCTATGGCTGGTGAGAACTCCTTCAAAATGACGTGTGTATCCTTTTAACTTCCTTGTTTTTTGGCACAACAAGCAGTCAGTAATTTAACCTAACCTGTTAATAACTATTTTAGTACTCTTTTTGGTAATATTCTTGAAATATTGGTTATCTGAATATAACATAGTTCCATAGTTTTTGACTAAAATAGGCACCAACTAGATTTTTAGAAGTCATTTAACCTCAAAATAGTGCTTACTTTTGAAAAAAACCTGTAATTGCCATATTTACTTCATCTGTTTTCTGTTGTGCGTCATCTCTATATATTAACTAAAGTGAAGGTAAAATCAAAGTAGCCTTTTTCACATGGATATGTATCCACTTCTTTCTACTAAACTGATGTTAGAACGTTAGGTTAATATATTTGTTTCTTCATACCTCGAGTTTCTGTTGATTATTAATTAGGTTGTCATAAAAATACAACCTAATGATATGAAAGAATAAGAACAATTTAATGTGTTTGCAAATATGTTCAGATGGTATTGTATATAAAACGTTTTAATGCTAATACTGGAATAGCACCCTAAACTTGAAGTGCCTCTTTTTGTTTAGAAGAAAGTGGCTGTTTTTCAAAGTTTTTGGAAATATATTTCCAAAGTATTTCCCTTGTGCATTTCATTAATTATTTGCTAATACTGAAATCTTTCAGTTTAAAAATATTTTAAAACTTATGGCCAGCATATTATGCTAATTGATTCTGCTTAGTGTATAATACTAGACAATATTAATTGCTTTTTATCTGTGTCTTTTTTGTCATTACAGTATTATTCATGACTTTAGTCAACAGACATTCACCAAACACCAGTTACTATAATAATGGTATCAGTAATAATAGCAATAATTCTTTACTTTTACTGAATATTCACTGTTAAATTGAATCCAATGCCATTAGCTATAAGGTGCATACATTTTTATGTAATGCTAAGAGAAAAGTTGCCAATTAAACTGTTATCATCTATTGTGAAATGCACCCTAACTTCAGAAATGTTGAAAAGTAAAAAGCTATCACTTTTTCTAATTGATGGCATGGCACTTAACATGTTAATTCATTTAATTATTGCCAATCCAATGAGGTAGTTTCCATGATTATCCTCACTCTTATAGATAAGGAAGCTCAGCCTAACACAGAGATTGGGTAATTTTCCCAGGTGGCACAAAAACATCGAACAGATTTTAGAGCAGAGATCCTAATGCCAGAGTCCCTCTCTCAACAACTGTACTATACTGCCTTAAGCCAAGGTAATTAAAACACAATTTCTTATTTTAAGTAATTCTTGGCAAAGGAAGGAGAGAGATAGTAAATGGTTTTTGCTATAATATGATAAATGCCTTAGTAGAGAGATACATAAGAGACTGTGGGTGTACAGAGGAGAGATGGTTTAACTCTGTCTGAGGAGGTACCAAGTCTTCCTTCTTTCCTATGATAAGCAGATACTCTAGTTTAAAAATTATGTGTAGGTTCTTCTAACCCTCTTGTGTTTCTGTGGCAGTGTTTTGATCTTTGAATCTTCCTGGTATAGCTAAAAAAAAATTTAAAAAATCAAAGTACTAATATACTCTTTAAAATACTTGTAATGTCTGCATAATATCTAAACATCAAGATTCACAAGATGTATCTTATTAAAATGAATTTATGAAAAAATAAAATGTTCAAAGCACCTAAGTAAATGAAGTTTAAACTTAATGTTTTTACAGGTGCTGGAGAAAATTTGGAGAATACAATGGCAGCCTTTCAACAGTAAGTATATAAGACTATTCTTTTACAGTTTATCTTTAAAGTGATAATGATGCACAAAGTGAAGATAGTATACATGTAGCATCCACCTGTGATAGTTGTTTCTATTTTATTAAAATTGCTTTCTTATGTAGTTAGTCTGAAGTGTTACAAATACTGTTTGAGTTCCACATAACTGAAAAAAACTAGACCAGAGTTTTGGGTAATCAAAAAATACTATAGTTCCAAAGTTGAAAGAAGACATTCGTAACAAGGAACATAGAACATACTGTGTGTAATGCTAATTAGTCTTGGATAGAAAGAGAAAAGGAGAAAATGAAACAACTGTTATACCAGCTGCTATTTATGAATAGAATTATGTGTCTACTTAGTAATTCTTATATAGACCTGAACCTGTAATCTCGTCTAAAACAGTGAATATGAAAAGTTAAACACCATGAAAGACATTACTTACCCATATTGATTTTCTTATATAATTCTTAAGCCATTTCTATGTGTATAATGACAACTAAGGAATCAGGAGAATTTGGCCCATGTTTTTGTTCTGCTTCTCATCTTTCAAAGACACCTTAGAGATTATTTTTTCCTATTATCAGGTCAAAAGGTACTGCTTCTCCATATTTTAGTTTCATCTAAATCGTATCCCTCTGGTTTTGTCATAGCTTAGTTTTCCTCATCTATAGTATGATGCCTTTTTATTATAATCTCAAAAGTCTCTTACAGTTTTAAAATGCAGTCTCTTTCCTCCTATCACAGATTGTGAAACAATAAATTACTTTCTTTTCTTTACTGAGGTTATATATCTAGCTAGCTAGCTATAGCAAACGTATATAATTTCACATGTACGATATCCACATATATATTTAGATACACACTTAGCAAAGCACATATATTATGACACAGAGGTGAAGATGAGAAGATACAGGAGAAAGTATAAATAGTTGGTGTGGGAAGCCTTGTTAAGATTAACCAGAAAATTGAAAACATACCTGGGCTAGAAGAGCTATGATGTGGTAAAGAGGAAGAATGTGAAATGTTTGAGATTAAGATGTGAGGATATGTGGATCAGGTATGTCTAGGAAATTGAAAGTACCTTAAGAATGTATGGAAAATTAATTCATTATATTATAGCGGAGCTAAAGAAGTAATTAGGACTGACAAATAATTGCATCTTGTGATTTATAAAAAGTTCTTTATATGGCTCTTCAGTAATTTCTTGGGAGCAAGAATCTTTCCTTATTGATATCTCAATCCCTAAAACCTAGCACTGGTGCTAACAGGCTCTTACTAGTTGTTCACTAATGAAATAAATGGAATAGGTCACTAATGAACAAAGCAGAATATTAGCAGAAGACAGGTGAAGGAGATAGAACCCCGTCCAATGTAAACAGAACCAAAAATTAAGGAATTCTCTCTCTCTCTCTCTCTCTCTCTCTCTCTCTCTCTCTCTCTCTCTCTCACACACACACACACACACACACACGCAGTCACTAAGCCCTTGAGTATGTAAAATCTGGTTCTTAAGAGCTAATAAAACTAGGTTATTAAACCAGGCCGCCTTTGTAAATATCCATAGGACAATTTGATCCCTGTGGTATTAACTTGAATGGTAAGAGAAAAAAACAAAGTGTATTAGCAATAGCTAGAAGTATAAATTGGCAGACAAAGTAATTAATCAGCAACCTGATTCCTATGATAAATTTTTTAGACCATCTAATTAAGATAATACTAATGATCTCATCAGCGAAATGGGAATGATAATACAACCTCAATGTTGTAAGCAGTAAATGAAGTTGAAATAAATTCTGTAATGAAAATTCCTGTTGTAAATCATATGCATTCTGTGGAGTTTCAGGTAATTTCACATCTTCTTTTAAAGCTAGAGTTTTAATTATTTATGTCTGGAATTGTTGAGTCCTGGCTCCATAACTGTTTTCAGTGTTTGTCATCAGCTTGTCAGAAATTTAGCTACAAAATATCTGGTGTTTCAATTGAAGTAGTGCATATTGTTATTTGTGGAAAAATTTAAAGGCCAAAACGATAAAACAAATTCTTTTCTTGCTATGTTCTAGCTATTTGTGTATCAAATTTGGGATAATTTTATTAGGATAAATTATAAATTGTACTAGATGCACTTATTATTGCTCTAAATTTTTATTTATTAGCTTGTTAATAAGAGGCAAGCATGCATTAAATAATGTTTTGCACATCACTCTCAAACATTTTAAAAAGCATTTCAGCTAAAGGCAAACTTTATACTTAGAAAGATTTCCTAGGTAATAGGTAAGTATAATTTTTTTATTATTTGTACATGCAGTTTCTATTTTTATTTATATTTTTAAAATATATAACCTTTATTATATTTATTTCCATTACCATTTAGTCCCCTTTTACCCCACTCTCTCCAGCAGTCACCACACTGTTGTCCATGCCCATGCGTCCTTTTTTTTCACTTAATCCCTCTACCCCCTAATCTCTCCCATCTAATTTTTTTTAAAAACAGGAAAATACAGATAACTCTTGCTCTTCCTCTCCCTTCACACACTCATACAAAAAAAAAAAAAAAGACACGTTCATGACTAAAAACCAGTAGTACCATTTTTCAACTATATAAAGGACAGAATTTATTTCAAAACTGTTTTTTAGCTATGTATGTTACAGTTTCTACAGTTTTTATCCTTTCTTAAAAAAATTAAACAGTATAACAACAATATTTAAGAAAATAAAAAAAATACAGAAAAAGAATTCTACCAACTTAAAAACTGTTTTAGTTTTGTTTGTTTTTTTTTGCTTATTCCTTTTTGGATTTCATTTTTACAAATTTCTGGCTCTAACAAAGACACATTGGGAAACATATTTTCTTTTAAAGGTGGATATCCTTTAGAAGAGGACACTTAAAGTTAACAACTTAATTATTTACATCTTAGTAAGAGTTACATTAAGGAACCAGGTTGGTTGGTTTGTTTCCTTTAACAACTGGTAACCAGGACACCGATGGAGAGGGTTACTTAAGGAGGAGTTAGGGAGCAGTTAGAGACTTTGGCACAGGCAGCAAGTAGCCAGTGGGTCTTTTGAAATGGGATGCTAGTGGGGGTGGATCATTAGAAGCAGGTGAAGGAAGAAAAAAATGGGGAATATTTTAGAATCATTAGATCTGGGATGGCCAAGGATCTTAAAAATCATCTAATCCAACTTTCATGATTGGATGCTTGCATATCCCACAGCCTCATTCTTTTCTTTTTTAACCAATGAATTACCATGTTTTTGAGAAACGTGAAGAAACTTACTTAATTGTTAAAATTTGATTCGTTAATTGTTATATAATATTTTAATATTATGTGTTTTAGGTTAAGTACTATATAACAGAAGATACATTCATCTCATTTAGGAGATTCACAGGCAAAATAAGAGTCACGAGTGCTTGTTTATTTAAAAGAACGTTAAGTTTTTCTTAGGTCAAATTCCTGCTCTAATTCATTCTATAAATCTTTTTTTTAGATAAACTATTTTCATGATGTAAGCATTCTTATTTTTACATTATAAAAATTTATGTCATTTTATTGTGTTTTGCTTTGCTGTGTTTCACAGATACTGCTTTTTTTTTTTTTTTTTTTTTTTAACAAATTAAAGGTTTGTGGCAACCTGGCATTGAGCAAGTCTGTTGGCTCCGTTTTTCCAACACCCTGTGTCTCTGTATTACATTTTTGTAATTCTTGCACTATTTCAAACTTTTTTATTACTGTTATAAATTGTAAGATGATCTCTGATCAGTGACCTTTGGTGTTAACTATTGCAGTTGTTTTAGGGTGCCATAAATCTCACCCATCGAAGACAGAGAACTTAATAAATGCTGTGTGTATTCTGACTACAAGACTACTCCACTGATGTTCCCCATCTCTCTCCCTTTCCTTGGGCCTCCTTATCCCCACAGACACAACAGTATTGAAATTGGACCAGTTATTAACCTTCTAATAGCCTCTATGTGTTCAAGTAAAGGGAAGAGTTGCATGCCTTTCACTTTAAATCAAAAGCTAGAAAGATTAAGCTTAGTGAAGAAGGCATGTTGAAAGTCAAGACAGGCTGAAGGCTAGTCCTCCTGCCCCAAACAATTAGCCAAGTTGTAAAGGCAAAGGAAACATTCTTCAAGGAAATTTGAAGTGCTACTCCAATGAACACATGAATGATAAGAAAGCAAAACAACCTTACTGGTGATATGGAGAAAGTTTTAGTGATCTAGATAGATCAAACCAACCACAACAATCCCTTGAACCAAAGCCTAACCCAGAGCAATGCCCCAACTCTTCATATAAGGCTAAGAGAAGTGAGGAAGTTGCAGAAGAAAAGTTTAAAGCTAGCAGAGGTTGGTTCACAAGGTTTGAGAAAACAAGCTGTTACTATAACAAAAGTGCAAGGTGAAGCAGCAAGTGCTGATGTAGAAGCTGCAGCAAGTTATCCAGAAGATCTAGCTAAGATAATTAATGAAGGTGGTTACACGAAGCAGATTATCACTGTAGATGAAACAGCCCTTTATTGAAAGAAGATGCTATCTAGGATTTCCATAGGAGAAATCAATGCCTGGCCTCAAAATGTCAAAGGACAGGCTGCCTCTCTTTTTAGGGGCTAATGCAACTGGTGACTTCAAGTAGAAGCCAATGCCCATTTACCATTTTGAAAATCTTAGGGCCCTAAAGAATTAGGCTAAATTGAGTCTGCTTGTGCTCTAAAAATGGAACTGTAAATCCTGGATGACAGTATATCTGTTTATGGCATGGGTTACTGAATATTTTTGTTTAAGACTTTATTTATTTTTAGAGAGGGGAAGAGAGGGAGAAAGGGAGAGAAACATCAATGTGTGGTTGCCTCTTGCATGCCCCCTGCTGAGGACCTGGCCTGCAACCCAGGCATGTGCCCTACACTGGGAATCAAACCAGTGACCCTTTGCTTCACAGGCCAGTGCTCAATCCACTGAGCCATACCAGCTAGGGCTGTTTACTGAATATTTTATATCCACTGTTGAGACTTAGTGCTCAAAAAAAAATTCCTTCAAAATTTATTGCTCATCAGACAATAAAAGAGATGTACAATGAGACTAATGTTTTCATTTCTGCTAGCATGACATCCATTCTGCAGCTCATGAATCAAGGAGTAATTTCAACTTTCAAGTCTTATTATTTAAGAAATATATTTTGTAAGGCTATAGCTGCCTTAGGTAATTAGTGATTCCTTTGATGAATCTGGGCAAAGTAAATTAAAAACCTTCTAGAAAAGATTCACCATTCTAGATGTTAGGAACATTTTTGATACATGGGAAGAGGTCTAAATAAGCAACATTAACAAGAGTTTGGAAGAGTTGGTTCAAGCCTTTGTGAATGACTTTGGGGGTTCAAGACTTCAGTGGAGGAAGTAATTGCAGATGTAGTAGAAGTAGCAAAGGAACTAGAATTAGAAGTGGAGCCTGAAAACATGACTGAATTGCTACAATCTCGTGATAAAACATTAATGTATGAGGATTTGCTTATAATGGATGAGCAAAGAAAGTGGTTTCTTGAGATGGAATCTAATAAAGTCTAAAGTGAAAAAAACACGGAAAATAATTAAAATAATGTCATTGTGGGATTATAGTTATGTATTTTTTCTTAATGTTTTCAAATATTCCTTATAATAGTGTTCTGATATGCATACAGTCTAATGTAGGTAGAATCTACTCCTGGTGAAGATGCTGTCACGGTAGTTGAAAGGACAACAAAGGATTTAGAATATTACAAAAACTTAGCAGGGTTTCAGAGGATTGATTCCAATTTTGAAAGACTTTTGACTGTGGATCAAATGCTATCAAACAGCATCACATGCTACAGAGAAATCATTCATGAAAGGAAGAGTCAACCAATGTGGCAAACTTCATTGTTGTCTTACTTTGAGAAATTGCCACAGCCACCCCAGCCTTCAGCAACCACCACCCTGATAGGTCAGCAGCCATCAACTAGAGGCAAGACCCTCCACTACCAAAAAAATTATGATTCACTGAAGATTCAGATAATGGTTAGCATTTTAAAAAGTATTTTTTGATTAAGGCATATATATTGTTTTTTAGACATAATGCTTTTGCACATGTTTTTAATTGGATGCCTTGGCAATCAAAGCTTAAGTCAGTTACTTGCATAACAAGGAAAAAAAGTCAAGGCTTATACTGCACTGTAGCTTTGTATTAAGTTTTGAAATCACTAAGTGTGAGTCTTCTAACTTGTTTTGTTTTTTCAAGATTGTTTTGACTATTTTGAGTTTCTTGAGTTTCTGTATAAATTTTAGGTTGGATTCTTCTATTTTTTCAAAAAACAAAAGGAATAATTTCTTTTTTCTTTTCTTTTTTTTATTGGGATTTTGAGAGGAATTGCACTGAACCTGTAGATTAGTGTAGCATTTACATTTAACAATGTTCAATATTCCAATTCATGAACATGGGATGTCTTTCCATCATGTATTCTTCTTTAATTTCTTTCAGCAGTGTTTTATACTTTACATTATACGAGTCTTTTACCTCCTTGTTTAAGTTAATTTCTAAGTTTTTTATTCTTTTGATGCTATTGTAAATGGAATTGTTTTATGATACCCTTTCCAATATGGATCCTCCCCCTGTTTTTTTCTCCTTGCTTAATTGTTCTGGCTAGAATTTCTTTTTTCTTTTCTTTTCTTTTTGGTCCATTGAGGCATTTTATTTGCATATGTATATTATATCCCTAGAAAAAGAATCCAGGATTTTCCCTCCTGTGTGTTTTTGTCTTGCTGAGTCATGGTCCTTGATGCCTGCTGAGGTTGTTAGCACAATGAAACCGCGCTGACAGGACATGAGCAGGTTGTTCTGCCATTTTCCTAGATATTTGAGTTACACATCAAATTTGGGGCTGATTACTCCACACTTGTTTAATCTGCCTGTGAGGTTCATGATTTTCCCCACCCTGTGGTCATCAGTAATTTCAAATTCACCAACATATCCACGCTTCATCCTCACAGTTAGAATCTGGAGAGTGACTTTGGTTGCACAGCCTAATAAGAACATCGCATTTGCCCCTTTTTTCAGCATTGTTGATACTCTTGAGGGCATCAGCCAGGACATTCCTGCATACCATTATGGCATCACAGAGATGTCGGAAAGAGCTAGAATTTCTAATACTATACTGAACTAAAGTAGCAAAAGCTGGCATCCTTTTCTCGTTTTTCACTCCTTTCATTTTATAGATATGGAAAGACAGTCCCAGAGGGGGCATTTACTTGTCCAATGTTATACAGCAAGTTCGTAGCAAAGCAGGAACTGATACCCAGATCTCTTAACTTCTGATCCAGTGTTCTTTCCATTATATTGGGTTGAGAGAAATAAGGTAGCTGGTTATAGAAAGAAGGCAACATGATTTGTAAGTTCACTTAAAATATTTTCACATTAATAAATCACAATAGATGACGGTGTTGAGAGATTTTAGTATGGGATTTTTTTGCTGTTTGATTTATAATTCTGAATTTTACATCTGATACGTGTAATCTCAATGTTTCTGTAACCTCAATGAAACTTAAGTCTCAGAATGTCATAATTCTTTGTATTTCTTCAGTGCAGTTACAATTGGAACTGATATGCTGGAATTGGACTGCCATATCACAAAAGATGAGCAAGTTGTTGTGTCACATGATGAGAATCTAAAGAGATCAACAGGGGTCAATGTAAACATCTCAGATCTCAAGTACTGTGTAAGTATAAAAATGCATTATAAGCTAATATCTAGTAGATATGAGGGCTTGTAAGATTTTTTAAAACAGTAAATATCAGAGAGTGCTTCAATAAATAATTTTTTTAAATTTACTTATTTCTAGAGAGAGGGCAAATGAGGGAGAAAGAGAGGGTGAGAAACATCAATGTGTGGTTGCCTTTCACATGCCCCCTACTGGGCACCTGGCCTACAACCCAGGCATGTGCCCTGACTGGGAATCAAACTGGTGACCCTTTGGTTTGCAGGTCAGCACTCAATCCACTGAACCACACCAGCCAGGGCCAATAAATAATTTTTTAAAAATGATAGTGGTTAAATAATGAATGTCAAAGGAAATTTTAAAAAACTGTTCTGAGTTTCAATGAAGATGTATTTACTATGTACATATATGGAAACTTAATTTTATAAGTATTTTAACAAAATTACCAAAGTCTAGTAAAACTATTACAGTTCAACTTGCCTGAAGTATTCTATAATTTATTTGATTCAGATTAAATATATAGATTAGTTTTAGTCTTGAAGTATAGGAAAGAACCCTTTAAAAATCTTTAGTAGTTTACATGCTCAATATAATAAATACTGATAAATAGAAGAAAAAATGCTCACTTTTGCCACCTAAAGAAAACTTATGTTAACATGTATGTATACCCTGTATGTTGTTTGTATAGTTGTAATCCTGCTGTGTATTTTTTTATATATAGTATTTTTAAACATTTTGACATGATGTATATTTTTCTGAGCTTTTTCTTTTTAATAAACTTGAGTTTTTAGAGCAGTTACAGGTTTATAGCAAAACTGAGCGAGAAAGTACAGAGAATTCTCACATAGCATAGCCTCTGACCTGACATAGGCAGAGCCTCCCCCCACCCCTGCTATCAACATCCTGCTCCAGAATGGCACATTTGTTACAGTTGATGAACGTACGTTGACACATCATCATCACCCAAAGTCCATAGTTTACATTAGGGTTCACTCTTGGTGTTGTACATTTTATAGGATTTTAACAATAGTGTCATACAGAATATCACTGTGCCCTAAAAATCTTCTATGCTTCGCCTATTCATCCTTCCTGCACGCCCCTAATCCCTGACAACCACTGATCTTTTTACTGTCTCCATAGTTTTGCCTCTTCCAGAATGTCATAGTTAGAATTGTACAGTGTTTAGGCTCTTCAGATTCCATGTTTATTCTTCATAAACATTTCAAATGACTGCAGTTAATCCATTGAGTGAATACGTAGTTATTTTTTACCATTCCTCTGTTGTTGGGCTTTTGAACTAATTCTAAGTTTTCAACATTATAGGCAGCACTGTACTGAATGTCTTTATGCACAAAGATAAAGTTTTCTGCCCTGGCTCATGTGGCTCAGTGGATTGAGTGCCAGCCTGAGAACCAAATGGTCGCCGATTCAATTCCCAGTCACGGCACATGCCCGGGTTGTGGGCCGGGTCCCCAGAGGGAGGTGCTCAAGAGGCATCCACATATCGATGTTGCTCTCCCTCTCTTTCTCCTTACCTTCCCCTCTCTCTAAAAATATATAAATAAAATCTTTTTTTTAAAAAAAGATAAAGTTTTCTCTATACTTATATGCTTATGTAACATTATTTAAGAGCTATATATTTATAAAGATATGTGTTTATATTTATTAAATATTTATATAAAGATAGCCTCTATATTTAAAATTATTTCTCTAAATAACCTTCCAGCAAGGAAATTATTGGGTAAAAGATTAGAAATATTATATTAAAAAGATTAAAAATAATATATATTGAAAGTTGCTATTGCCAGCTTGCTTTTTAAAAGTGTTTAAAGAGTTATAGAATCTGATATTAGAAGAATTCCCATTTTGCTGTACCCTTACCGTTATTTGGACATTATAATTATACCAAACATTCACTAATTTGCTAGATTAAATTTTAATTAGCATTTATTTATGTCCATTTAAAGATACTTCCATATGATCCTAAGTCATTTTTCTTTTTTTTTTGTTTGAACTATTAACATTTATCTACTGAGATCTTTGTATATTTATTTGGAGAAAAGGTCAATATTAAATAAAATAGATTTCTTTTAGGCTGTAAAACTAAATAATTATATGATTAATTTACTGTTGGGAATGTTCTGCTAAAGGATGTCCTGTGTAAACATATATAGTGTTTTGTTTTTTGTTTTTGTTTTTCGAAGAAGCAAATCTTTATTTCTTACAACATTCAAATACTTTTGATTAATTAGGAGCTAACTTTTTTCAATCATATCTTTTAAAGGAACTCCCAACTTACCTTGGCAAACTGGATGTCACATTTCAAAGAGGTAATATTCCCATTTACATTTACAGTTTAAATATTTACATTGAAGTATATTCATTTATGCTGAGAATTAGATATATAGGCGTGTTCTCTAGCATAGTAAGTTCCAGCTAAAAGTACTGCCCCCAAAACTTACTCTCTCAGGCTTACCAGTCTGAAATCTTGGCCCTGAAATATGAAGTCCAGAGATTTAATTGGCCCATTCTATTAAATTTATGTACAGTTAGTTGTAATCTGAATACTGATGACAAGAATCCCAGATATTATTAGGGATACTTTGTATCTCTAAAGCTTCCAATTCTAGAATGTTACTGTAACTTTCAGTAATCATTAAATAAATGAATAAATGAAAAGAAATTGATGGGACCCTTTTCAGATCGTTACTGATTGTCTCACATTTGATTCTATGTCATGTAGATTTTTCATATTTTAGATTTTAAAAAGAATTCTATTGATCAAATAAACCATCCATTTCCTAGTCATCTTCACTTTTTAATTACCAGCATAGCAGTTTCTTTCTTTTGAGGGAACATTTCTTACAAAGAAACACGTGCCTTGACCCCAGTTTGTCAGTTTCGCTAGAATGGAGTGTCTTAGAATGGAAGATGCACTGCCTTGAGATACACAGGTTGCTGAGCAAGTACCTGCTCCCTCCCTAGCACAGTTCAGCCTCATGTTTTGAATGATTCAAATGTAACTCAGTAAAGCAGTAAGATGTTTCATGGTGTGGTCCATGGTGTGGCTTGCATATAGTTAGAACTTTGGTTAAATGTCAAGGATCTACTGATATTAATTTTCAAAAGTAACTGTAACTACTTGTGAATTAGATTTAAAATTGGCCAGTAAAATTTTTCTTTGGAAAGTTTTATTTTTTTATTATTATATTTTTTTAAATATGCATTTGACTCTGGTCTTGTGGGTATTTTTTTTTAAGATTTTATTTATTTTTAGAGAGGGGAAGAGAGGGAGAAAAAGAGGGAGAGACACATCAGTGTGTGGTTGCTTCTTAAGCATCCCCTACTGGGGACCTGGCCTGCAACTCAGGCGTGTGCCCTGCCTGGGAATCGCACCAACGATGCTTTGGTTCGCAGGCCGGCACTCAATCCACTGAGCCACACCAGCCAGGGCTGGAAAATTTTAGAAAGGCAAATAAAAATTGGAAAATTGTTTAAATTAGCTATCTGTAAGTAATATTTAGACCTGATGTTTGTTGATTTTTGCCTTCCAGGTAAGTATCATTAAGCTCTGTTGGTTTGAGGAAAGAAACACTGTTAATTCTTGTAATTAATAGTATTATACTCACCAAGCTTTTCTAATATTTGTGTCGATTGTGGACTTGTGAAGGTTAAGAAAATTGCATAAGTGACGTTCCTTCTGCTTCTCCCTTTGTAGAGCAAAGCCTCACAAAGATTAAAAGGTCTTTTCAGAAAAAAAAATGTTTTAATTTTTTCTGGTTTTTATACCTCCCTCATAAAGTGAAAATACTTTTGAATGTGAAGAGACCTTTGAGACCATCCGATTCTGTCTCTTCCTGTTCTAGATAAGGATACAGGCCTAAAGATGTAAATTAAGGTCATAGAGCCAGCCAGTAAATGACCGGGCTAGGCCTTGAACCTAGATCTTACCAGGCCAGTATTCAGCTACATCTTACTGCCTCTCCATCTGGAGTCTCTTCAAATACCTTATTAATAGAAATCCCATGTACTCTCAAGTTTCAGACAACTGTAAAAAAAATTAACCTTAGTTCATATTGCATTCAACTTACTAACTTAAGAAGTTTACAGAATTTGAAACAGAATAATACATAGTACTGTATAAACTTGACTCAGATTAGGCAAAAAGCTGGTTTTTTTCTATCCCATTCTTCTGCTCAGAAGTCTTGCTTACTTTTCTTTAAATACTGAAGAGAGAGGAACTATCAACTCTCACAGGAATGCACATATCAGGCCTCTTGCTTTCTTTGTTGTTCACAACTTGACTGGAGAAGAACTGTATTTTCTTTTGAAAATCCAATGGCATATTTGCTTATCATTCTTTTTTTTTAATTTTTAAAAAAATTTTCAATAGTAGTTGACATTCAGTATTACATTCATTTCTAGCATTCTTGTTTGTTATTTTTCCTTTTATTTTCTACCTGGTTATTCCTCTGTCCAGAACAACTGGGGACAAACTTCTTTCTCCAACTCTTCTTTTTTTTTTAACATTCTATGCTGGCTGAGACATGTAATTTAAATATCTTCACATCACTTTAGCACACTTTCTTTTCCTTAGCACACTTTAATTTCCTTATTTCCCCCTCTATTTGATGCAATATAATTTTTGTATAATGGGTCATTTTCTTGTTCCATAGTTTTTGTCTGTTTGGCCTTTTTCTAAGTCGATTCTTACGTATATCTTACTTGGGTATGAATGTTTATTGCCCATGGTAATCCTCTTGATTGCTGAATTAATTTTTCCATACTTAACAAACGAACAAAATTATTTTTAACTAGCACTGTCTAAAGAGAATTTTCCTTAGTGAAATCAATTTTTTTTGCATTGTCCAGTACAACAGCCAATAGCCACATGTGACCAATGAGTACTTGAAATGTGGCTAGTGCACCTGAGGAACTGAATTTTTTAATTTTATTTAATTTTAATTTAAATAACCCTGTGCAGCTAGTGACTGCCTTATTGGGTCCAAGGGTACAAAAAGGACTCTTTCTGGTTCATTTCATGCTTCTGCTTCTCTTGGGTCTTACCCTCTCCTGCTGAAGGTGGGTTTTGTGGCAGGGAACATGATCCTGACAACTGTAAATTCACATCCTGCCTGCACTATCCTCCTGGGGGAAAAGGAGATCTCCCCTCTGAGCCTCAAGGGGAAAGTTCTAAAGACACTGATCGACCCAGTGTGGGCCGTGTGTCCATCTTGAAATACTCACCTTGGTCAAAGAGATAAGCTACTGTGATTGGCCAGACCTAGGTCATATGCCTGCCTCTGAGAATGAACAGTCCTGTTTTTGACAGCGCAATGTATTAATATAATTAATTTTGTAGTTCAATTTTGTAGTCTACGGTAAGTCTAAATTCTTTAGTTATAAGTGCTAGAAATCCGTTTCAAGATAGTTCAAGGAAAAAACATTTTAAAGAATTTGTTGGTTTTCATAACTAAGAAGTCTGGAGGTTCTATGCTTTCAGACATGACTGATTCCAGTTGCTCAAACAATAAATAATAGGTCTCTCTCTTCATTTCTTTGTTCTGCTTTTATTTGTTAGCTTTGTTGTTAGGCATACCTTCTCCACATAAAGATGGACTTCTGACAACATCAAAAGTACATGATCCATTCAGCTGAGGATTTTGGGAGACCTCTCCTAGTGTCCATATTGTTATGCTTGCAGGCTATTGTACTCTCTCTGTGGCCATGGACACAGAGGCAAATGACTGACAGTCCCATCAGAATGACCCAGAGCCGCATCTGACTTACAAGGAGTAAGAAAAAAACAATAGGAATAGGATACATAACAGACAAAACAGTAACAGATTTTTCTTTTTTCTTTTTTGCCTTATTCATATGAGCCTTTATTATAATGAATGTTCTGACATAGATTTAATTTCCTTTTTTGATATGCTCCTTTGTTTTGGTTTGCTCTACAATAAGGATGACATAAGGGGTCTTTCACTTTTTGGTTATTCACAGATTAGTAGAATCGAAGTTTCAGGTAGAAGGGGAAATTTATATAATAGCTATTTAGTATGCATAGTATATTATATAAATGATTAGAGGCAAAAGGGACTAGGGAAAAAATAAAGAAAATAACCCTCAGAATATAACAAAGAATGTTTAAAAATCTGCTTCTAATTTTTTCATGACTCAGTTTTCTTTGAATTGAGTTGCATTGATACAATTCTTCAACACATTACTGAGTTAGCATGTCTTTCTCTTGCCTGAATGTATTGTCCTCAATCTCTGAAATATTCAATGATGGTATCAGAGCAGAACTTTGGAAACAATCTCAATATCCACTGGTAGGTATAGAGAAGGAAAAAAAAATACTTTTCTTTCTACCCTTCTAGATTCTCAGCTGGGACTCTGTAACAAAAGAGAGATTGATAAGATAAAAACAAGCTGAAGTTTATTACTATGTATGTCTCATGAGAGAAACTCAGAGATGGCTACAACTTGAGTTTATATAACATCTTAAAAAAAATAATAAATCCCAATAAATTTTCAGAGAAGTGACAAGACAAAGGAAAAAGACTGAGTTTCTACGATGGAACATTTGGGAAGTTAAATATGTGGGAGGATAACAAAAGATAAAGGCTAGTCAGTCCTCTGGTGCTGATAAGTGTCTAGGGCAGTTGGTGATTTCTTTGTACAAATTTAAGTCTTGTTTTAAGGCAAATGATGGGGGGGGAGCAGAGAGCCTTTTTTGTACGTATCTGCTTAATTGCCTTCAGTTCAAAATAATCTTTATACCAAGGGAAATAATAATCTTCCGTTCAAAATAATCTTTATACCAAAGCAGCATATTTTGGAGTGGCAAGCACTGATACATTTTAAGAGGAATGGTTAGACTAAATTAAATCGATGTATGGCTACTCAGTGGAGGACTCTATCTTTTCCTTCCTTCCTTCCTTCCTTCCTTCCTTCCTTCCTTCCTTCCTTCCTTCCTTCCTTCCTTCCTTTTAATTTTAGAAAGAGAGAGGAATGGAGAGATAGAGACAAAGAGAGAAACACCGATTTGTTGTTCCACCTATTTATATGTTCATTGGTTGATTCTGGTATGTGTCCTGTCCGAAGATCAAACCCACAACCTTGGCGCATGGGGACAACACTCTAACCAACTGAGCTACCCAGCCAGGGCTTAATGGAGAATTTTAAAAACCTTTAAAATAATCGTTATAGAATAAAATAGGTGGATTCTATCAATGTTGGTATCATGGGCACGATATTTTATTATAGGGTTACCATCAGGGAATCTGGGTAAAAGGTACTCAGACCTCTGTATATTACCTCTTATAACTGCATGAGAGTCCACAGTTATCTCAAAGAGTTTAATGAAAAACCTTTTATATCATAATTATAAATACCATGTATTAACATGCAATATTTATTTTTTACTAGTGTAAAAGACCAGGTTAAAAATCTGTAGATACACTATAAGTCTATTAAATTATGCATAGAAAAAAAAAAAGAGTAGATGTACACCAAATGGTCACAACGGTTATATCTCAATTGTTGCATTTTTTATTATTTTTCTTTTTTTATACTTTTAATCATTTTGGAAATGTCCTATTATAATTGCTACTTTATTTCTCCTAATCATCCAAAAAAAGTCAAAGTTATGTTTTAAAAATACATTTAAAAATCTTGCTTTCTCAGCTTGCCAATGTGAAGGAAAAGATAACCGAATTCCATTACTGAAGGAAGTTTTTGAGGCCTTTCCGAACACTCCCATTAACATCGATATCAAAGTCAACAACAATGTGCTGATTAAGAAGGTACTTAAGGCATTGCCTCCTCCGAGTGTGTTGCATCCGATTTCACAAACTAATACGGTGGCTGCATAGATTGACCATTTTCAAGGAAGTGTGATGACGCTCTAGGGATCAGTATTGTTTAAATAATGCCCTGGTAGAAGGGGTCGCTTTACTGTAGGGGAGCCTTTTTCCATGTCTCAGTTATGAATAAAAGTGAGTTCCTGCAAACCAGTAGTTCTGGCACTTATATAATTAACTTCTAGTTTAAATTGTTTCACTTTTAGTTAATATGTGTCCAAGTACCAAATAGTTGTATTCTATTAGATACATCACATAATGGTGAAATGTAAGTCATTTCTTATATTTTATAAAATAATCTGATTGTATACATTGCTTCTTCCAAAATTTTGTACTGTTCACTGGCAGATAGTCGATTATAACCTATTTTTTTCAAATAAAATAATGTAAGTGGATTTACAAGTAGGCATATGCATACAAATTTGAATTTTCACTTACAGGTTTCAGAGTTGGTGAAGCAGTACAGACGAGAACACATAACCGTGTGGGGTAATGCCAGTTACGAAATTGTAGAAAAGTGCTACAAAGAGGTAATTCTCCAAAAAGTGATACAGAATGACCTTTGTTGTTATTATATATCTATAAATAGTAAGTTATTATAGTAATAATTATTTAAAATTATCTTATTTCAGAGCCTTGATATGAAAACCAATGGTACTGGGTGAAAGCAACTAACCAGAAGTTTGCTAATGGAGATAATGGATTTATAGATAATTGATTTAATATAAATAATGGACCTTGCAATTAAAGTTCAGTATAATTGGACTGGCTTACAGGATTATTTTTTTCACATGCTAATATCGGTTGTTTACTAATAGTTTATTATGTACATTATAAAACAAAATATGATTCCTGTTGTGAATGTCTATTATTTATAAGGTAATTGAATTTTTGTATAATAATTAGTTAAGGAAAAGTATTTAGTCCTTCAACTCTGTAGCTCAAGCTTTTCTTTACCAAGAATCAATAAAATTTAGCCAACTAGTATCAGGAGAGTGATTCTCGGGTACAATAATAAGTAAGGTCATCCAACCCTACGTATTTTCTGATTGAAGAAACTATATAAGAATTAGTTTTGATATATATTTAAATGGTATGCTAAGACTCTATAAGCAAGTTAGCTATATAGTCCAGTAAGAGAATTTGAAGTTCAAAATGTTAAAAAAAACCTTAAGAATTGGACTCTCTTTTGGAATACAAATGATAGTGCAAAAGAGTACGATAGAAGTAGGAATTTCAAAATACAAAGAATTCTTTGTGGAAGACTTTCCTTTCTAGCAAATACGGCAAAAACATAGACCCAAGATGAGCAGCATCACAATGTGCAGCCGAGGCCGTTATTAGGGCAAGTGAGCTTTGTTCACGGGCAGCAGCTCTCCACCCTCTCCTGTCAGCAGCCTCGTGTGGCTCCTGAGAAGTACCAGTTACCGTTTTTAGTTCTCTGCTTCCAAAGTTGCATGAGTTTTGAGGGCCAGCCCCTAACCCCGTTTTTCCATAAGCTCTGTTATTCTTAGGGTATGAATTTGCAGAAATCAGTTTTTCAGGGACTTGTATATTGTGTTGCGGCTGACACACCGGAATATAAATAAGCTGAAAATTCTACAAAGCAGCATAAGAACATAGGGGGAAAAATACTCAAACTTATTTACTCTATTTTTTAAAAAAATAAAGAGATGGGTAACAGGGCTACTATTTAAAATAAGTTAATTTTTGCATGATTTTTTCAATATATTACTGTTATACAGAAAATTCAAATTTGTCATACATAATTTCTATTTGTTTTAGAGACAAAATAGGAGGAACCAGGGAGAGGGATGTTTGGGGAGTTTTTTAAAGGGTATAGAGTTTCAATTTGTAAGATGAAAAGGGTTCATTCATACATACATGAGGGCTGGCACTCTAAAGGCTTGGGGATCTTAAATATGTTTTCCAATAGAAACTTAAAATGATGATTAGATTCTTGGACTAGTTTATAAAATCCTATTTGTGTTTGATTTATAATGTAGTTGAAAGATATATTTGCAATAGTATTTATATATATATTAATGTATTTTTCAACAGGAGTTAAGGTTACTATTTCACATTATCATTTCTTTATCTTGTTCCATTAGATGTGGTATATTTAATCTCTAATGATAAGCGCTATTACCAGCAAACAGAGGTGGAACTATAAAAACAGAGAGTAGGGAATACAGAAACTTTAATATCATCAGTTACACTGTAGGGCTTCAAGATAGATACTGACTCATTTGTCAAAGATGAGTCATTTCTAAGTGTAGTGCATTTGGATATTGATAATTCAGGGACTGCTTTTAATAGATGTCACGATACAGTCCTGGGAAACTTTGAGGGTTGTGAAATAATCCTCTTTATTTGAGCAGTTGCTGAGTGATATAATATTGGCTGTCTTTTAGAATTCAGATATTCCCATACTCTTCAGTCTGCAACGTGTTCTGCTCATTCTTGGCCTGTTCTTCACTGGTCTCTTGCCCTTTGTGCCTATTCGAGAACAGTTTTTTGAAATCCCAATGCCATCTATCATATTGAAGTAAGTAGTTACTTGTTCGCATCAATTGTCAATTGCAGGAGGACTAAGAGAAAGCTCCTAATATCAATATTAATGATAAAGAATAGATTGCTATAGTTATTTCCATGTTTGATTAGCTGACCTATATTAACAATGCTATTTTTTAAAAACTCTCACCTGAGGATATTTATTTATTGATTTTAGAGACAGAAAAAGGTGAGGGGGGGCGGGGGGGAGACCGAAATATCAATGTGAGAAACACTGATCTGTTTCCTCCCGTGGATGCCCCTACTGAGGCTTTAACCTGCCACCTTTTGATGTAGGGGACAGTGCTCCCACCCACTGAGCCCCCCAGCCAGGGCAACAATGGTTTTTGACGTAATTAAGACACATTCTCTAAAATGAATAATAAAGAAATTATGAGTATTTAATCTGGACCCATCTCATGTAACAATGACTTTTGTTAATATTTCTTAAAATCGGGTAAAAAGAATTGAGCTTAATTGCTGAAATTTAATAATTCTGTTACTCTAATATCCAGTAATAATTGCTTTCCTACTTCCTTTCTTCCTATTTCACAGACTACTATACAAAGCTGAAATTCCATTAAACTTCAGATTCACCACTAGTATTAATTAACACATTTAGGAAAAAAAACAACCGCCACCACAAAATCCCAAAAACCCTCCAGAGATGGGAGACAGAAAAGGATAGAATTAGTTTATCTAAAATACTTCCGTGTATGCGTAACTTCTCTACAGGGTATGAGGCCTTGCTTTTCACACACTAATTTACTACTACAAAGAAAAAATATATAAAACATTTAGCATTGCCTGGCAAATAATAAGCACTCAATAAATGATAGTTTTTCTTGTTAAATTATCTTTATATCATTATTATTAAAGAAAGATAGCTTCATCTCATGATCCTGCACCCTCATAATAATAGAAATATTATTTCTAACTCTAAATTTATAATAATAACAGCCAAGTCATGACAAGGGAATTCAGAGTTCCTGGGGAGATCATTTCAATGTGATTTCACCTGCATGAAAACTTTTTTCACCCCAAACAGAACTTTAAAAAAAAAATCAAGCTGAATATTAGTCATTAATCATTAGGAAATACTGGTAAGCAGAGCAGTTTGGTCAGTATCCTTGTATTCAGCATCTATGTTTCAGGCCAGTTTGAGTTTCTTAGTGATGAACATTTTTATCTGTTCCCAGTTACATTTATTGGCAGTCTTTGTTGCTGTTTCTCAGACAAAACAACAGAAATCACTTCTTGTTTACAAAGAAATAATTTTCATTTGCTAGAGTAAAATGATTCCTAACCATTTTATTCCTAAAGTACTTAGCTTTCCTCTGGCCTGGAATGGATTATTGTGCTTTGTAGATTACCTCTGTGTGTTCCTTTTAGAAGCTCATATTATTGAAATACAGACATATGAACAAAGTTCACAGAGTTAATCTTTTCTCTAAAAAGTGAGTGTGGATTAAAACACAGGTAGAATATTACGTGAGTATGTTTTAATGTTGTTTTTTATGGAAGACAATGGGTACTTAATAAGACAACATAATAATTTGTGCTTAACGAGATAATTAGTATTTGAGATACTAAATCCCTGAAATCCCTGAAATAGCATCCAGGACTTTCCATCTTGGCTAGAGTTAGAGAAAAAAGGATTTTATATAGAGAGCTTCTAATAAAAACTGAATTCAGAGAGAAAGAAAAAAAATGAAGTGTGGAGACTCAGGATTATAGTAAGAGTATATTGATAGGTGGCTTTAGAAAGAAAACAAAAAATGAAGACCTGGGGAGACTGAGAATCACAGTTTGCGGTTAAACTCAGAAGCTGAGAACTCTTCATAGTAGATTTCTCTTCATAGGCTACTCAGAGATTTCCTATGGGCACAACCCAAAATTAATAACACAAGTGGTTGTGCCGCTCAAGGCATCAAAGAGAGCGAGGAATAAATTCAGCATAGGTCTAAAAGTCATGTGCTCTCTCAATAGCAAAGATAATTAAAAGTACAGGGCCTAGGTCTTCAAATATTGAAAGGGGAAAAAAACACACTTTTAGGTTTTTTTGGTCTCATTTTTACCCCAAATATCTTTTAATCCATAGTAAAGTTTGGTTCTGTGTTTAAATTTGCTATATATTGTACTGAATTATAGCAGATAAAGTAAGAGAAAGAGGCTTCACCAAAAAAGAAAAAAAGAGAGAAAAGAGACTTGGGCCCTGGGCACTCAGGGTCTCTGGAAAGGTAACTTTTTTTTCCTAACCTTTGAACAGTGGTCTCAAAAAGCTCGCCTAAAGTCAGTAAAATAGAGAACCAAAATGGGCTTTATTTTAGTATATATTTGTCCTTTTACAAATATTTTTTGAGTATACACTAAGTGCAAAGCTAACTTTTTTTTTGAACCTCTTTTATTTTATCACACTCTGCTTCTAATTTATGATTCAAATTTTATTTTGTCACAGGTTAAAAGAACCGCACACAGTGTCCAGAAGTCAGAAGTTTCTCATCTGGCTTTCTGATATGTAAGAATTTTAGTTTCTGATACATACACAAGTCATTGTTTTAGCTGTATCTATTAAATACTATGCTTAAATTTAGTACAAACTTTCTAGATGTAATTTGTAACAAGGCTGTGTTGAGTACCCACTATACAAATGGATGTGTATGAATCATTTAGAACTAGCTTCATTACTAGTCACAAAGCCTTAGGAGAATTTTGGAGGATGATCTCATTCAACTTCAGGAGAAAACTAAGCACCAACCCACCCAAAGTTAAATGATTTACTTGGGGTTATCGAGCTAGTTAATGGCAGATCTAGGATATGGTATAACCACTCCCTTCTACTTACTTGTTTTCACTAGCCTGCAGTCAAAAACATAATGAAAGGAAGCATGTATAGTAAGGGAGTATATGTAAAATGTATATGACTAATGGCACATTTCTCAGAAAAATCTGTACCAAGATTTAGCAGAAAAGAAGCCCTACATATAGGGTGGATATCTATTTTATTTATTTATTTTTTATTAATTGATTTTAGATAGAAGAAGGGGGAGAGAGAGAGAAACATTGATTTGTTGTTCCACTTATTTAGGTATTCGTTGGCTGACTCTTGTATGTTCCCTGACCTGGGATTGAACCCGTAACCTTGGCGTATCTAGACACATAGAGGATACGTAGAGGGCGTAGAGGACAATGCTCTAACCAACTGAGCTACCCAGCCAGGACTGGGTATCTACTTAAAATTTTTTTAAAAGATGTTATTTATTTTTTAGAGAAGAAGGAAGGGATAAAGAATGGGAGAAAAACATCAGTACGTGAGAGAAACATCAATTGGTTGCCTCTCACATGCCCCCAACTGGGGACCTGGCCCACAACCCAGGCGTGTGCCCTGACTGGGCATCGAACTGACAGTCTTTCGATTTACAGGCTGGCGCTCAGCCCACTCAGCCACACCACCCAGGGCTGGGCATCTGCTTTAAAGAAAATGCCTAATTTCTAAGACATGTTGAGTTTAATTTTTAGGTAAAAAACATAGTTACTGTGCTATATTTTGTTTTAAAAAGGAACCTCGAATGCTTAAATAATAGTCCTTAGTCACAGCCTTTTTAATTTAGCTCCTCTTTTAAAGAGATGGAAAACTAATTTCACTTTATCTCTGTGCCACAGGGTTTATTGTTTTTGTTTTATTCCTGATTTAATTTCTAGTTTTCAAGGACACATTTTTAATTTGTTAAATGTACATGATTTTTAGTTTCTGTTCTTTAATCATTCTAATAAATATAAACAATAAAAGTTAGATGTGTAACTTTTCAGTACAGTTAGTTCCCATCTTGTTCAAGTGATTTATATTCTAAAAGTTCACTTTTAAGTTGGTTATTTGGAGCTAAAAAATGCTTTTTTGCTATGTACAGGATAGCGTAATTAATACATTAGGTTTCTAAGAGAGCTCACACAAGACTAATCGTTCTGTAAGTGAACTATGATGTTATAGAGCTTGACCCAAGTCTTACTTTAACTTGCAAGTTTAGGAACACAGACTGCATTGAGCTGCTTCAATACGAATGGGTCTCTTGAGGATCTAATGGCAACAAGGGATAGAAAGAAGGTTCTGGTTATTCACCAGCAAGCAGCCAGCAACAATGAAATCCAGCAGTTAAATGTAAATGCATCCACAGCAGTGGTCTTTATTTGAGGCCTGTATTTATATTGCTGAAACATTGGAATTAAATTGAACTAGGAATTATAAACTCTAAATTGACTAAGTTAGGACTAAGGACTAATTTTCGTCCTTCGTAGGGCTAAGAAGTACCTAAATCTGTTCTGCTTTTCTTTTCTAGTTTACTAATGAGAAAGGCTTTGTTTGACCACCTCACTGCCCGCGGCATTCAGGTAAATTTCTGGAGCGATGCATCTTGGCAACAGCATAATTTACCAGTTTAACACAAGTGTAAGGGGCAGGAACATTTAACTGACTTAGTTTGGCCCCAGCTCTGCTGATGCTGCTTTACTGGTTGACCTATGAAGACCTTAAGCTCTGCCTTAGACTGAACAAGAAAGCAGTGGCATTTCAGGGAAGTCCACTTATGTGCAGTCGAGAGTAGCTGAAGGCAGGGGGTGGGACAGTGCACATTTAATGAGCAAAGTGGAATTTTTTAAAGAGTTCGATGATTTCATAAAAGTGCGTGTTTAAAAGATTATTTCTTAAGTGTGCTGCGACTGTAGTTGGTAAATGTTATTATAAAAATAATTTTTTATCTTCACATTTCTTCTCATACTTCTCATGCTTCTAATTTTCAGGTGTATATTTGGGTATTAAATGAAGAACAAGAATACAAAAGGGCTTTTGATTTGGGAGCAACTGGGGTGATGACAGACTATCCAACAAAGCTTAAGAATTTTTTACATAATTTTTCAGCATAGAAAAGGAAGTACTCAAGCATTCAAAGAAAACATGAAAAGACCTAAGAAAAATATTTTTCACCATCATTTTCCTAAGCCATTTCCAGAATGGTAAAAGGTTTAATCAGTTAAGTTTTATTACCTCATTTTTAAGCCTGTCTGAGAATGTACACACAATATATTGTGTATTTATTTTAAATAATATTGCATATTTTGAATCTGTAAATAGTTTGTTTAGAAATAACTTGATTATAAGATGTAATTAGAAGATTATTGATCGAGATTTCTGTATATGATTCTATTATTATAAGTAATTCTGAAATCAAAGACTATTGGATAATTTAATAATTTCACTGGAATAAGGTCAGCTAATTAGTAAAACAAAACTATGGCAATCCACTACAGCTATTTTGAGTTGTCATGTTATTTCAAAGTGCATCACAATTAATGGGGAAAAATACAATGGAAGGAGAGTTTGAAAATCATTGATGTGGTTATCTGACAAGTTGTACATGTTAATAGAAAACAGACCCAAAGAATAATCTGAAAGTTTATTACTTGATCAGAAATAAAATCTGTAGACTGAATTAGATTTCTTGGTTGCTGGGGACCCAGCATGGGGACATTCTATCTGGAATCTTCTTCAGGTGTTTAGCACTGTCTTTTTTTTTTTTTTTTTTTTTGTAAACATTAAATTTGGACTTATCGATTATAAATTAATACAAGATCCAAATAGTCATATTTTTGTTTCCTGTAAAGTAATGTAAATTTTCCATTTTGGGCAATGACTGAATGTTTGGGCCTACATCTAGATTTTAAATAATACCTGAATCCTAATAATCAGTATGAAACTGATGAAAGTGCATATCATTGTTTTTAATACTTACATTGTAAGCTACCTGTTCCTGATCTTTAAGAATTTATTGTTCTGAGTATTAACATGGAAACAGAATTTCCCAACACATTAGTTATCACTTTCTCAGGTTTTCTGATGTGACCTCATGTACACCTGTTTCTAATCTTTCTCAGTAATTCTCATGATCTCTCTGGGAGGTGCGTGTACTCTGGGTCAGTGTGTTTTATCTAGATCACCTCTCTCATTTGGAGTTCGCCAGTGTACAGCTATGAAGGATGATCATATTTCTCACTTATCTCTGGATGACACAGTAACATTTGCTTTTTTTGTTTAAACTGAAATAAAGTTTTCCAAGAACGAAATACAGGTTCTTCATTGTTGTTTGCAGTTGTAAATTTACACATACATTGTAGATTTTCTTTTGCATAATTTGATGAGGTGATGAATTGATGATTGAATGCACTTGTGATTTCTCCCTAGAGTAAAGAAAATTTGGAAACATTTTTATGGCAAAGAAGTTGCTTCTTGGCATGTGAACAAATAATTGGGCAGGCAATCTAGTAAGTCAGTCATTTTCATCTTTATTAAAATTTATGGTTACAGTTGCTAGGGGTCATTTTGATCATATTTGATATAATTCTGTTATTTTTTCTTACCAAATTTGTTACGATTCAGATCAGTTCATATTATAGGGCCAGCATATATCTTGTGTCAGCCAGTAGGAGATAAAGTACACGGTGTGGTAAAGATGTTGAGAAAGTCATATTTTAAAAGTTTGATAATTTTTATAGTCAAGGTGACTGACTTTAAATCACTTAATAAAATTATAGTATCTATAACAAGAGAGTTGATACTCATTATCAGAAAACATCTGAACACTCTTTTGATTGGGGTATCATGTTTTAAAAGAGGCTCAAATATCCTTTTGTTTTGAGATGGCTATTACTAGGCGTGGGGTGGGCAGCATGGTGGGGACAGCCAAAGAAGTGGTCAAAAGATGTGATTAGACCCTTCTGGGATGGGGCTGGCACTAGATTTGACAGAACCAGCTATAGGTATAATCCAGCATATCAATAGTATCGCTAGTATATGGCAACTAAACAACAGATGGCAGGCATTTCAGCAAGCAATTGACATGAGGGAGTTTTCACATGCAGTTGTAAGAACTTCTCTGTAGGATTAGAGTCTTAGGCATGTTACCAAGGCAAAACAGGCCACGAGGTACCAGCCAGAACTAGCATCCAGGTCTTGGAAAGAAACTCATTTAATAGAACTGGAGAACAGAGTGATGCCACTGGACTAGTTACAAAGGTAAGTTGGCACGGAGGCCCAGAGCAATTAAACCTCTAATTTCTAGCTAGGGCTGGTTCTAGAAATTGGGGTGGGGCCCTGGCAACAGGTGAGCATCTAGTAACCACAGCTGTAGAGAAAGAACGGCTGCAGAGAGTTGGGATGAGAAAACATAAAACATAAATCTTAGTATGTTCTAATATGGAAAACCATGGACACAGAATATAAAGTGAACGATTCCGCTTAGAGTTATACAACATGGTGGCCCTGGAAAGGTACATTAAAGAACAAATAGGCAAGAGAGAGTCTGCAGCAGATAAGAATGCCAGCTGGAGAAGAGTACCAGGGTGAGTTTGTTCTGAACTGGAAACCTTATGTTTTAAGTAGGTGGCTAACGTCAAGAACCAAAACTGCTAGGCAATAACATGACATGATCATTTCAGTACCAATAGGAAGAAGTAAATAGCGTGAGGCCAGGCAGTGAAACAAGGTCAGACCTAATGTGCCCGGATGCAAGTCGGAGAGGCAGGCAGGCTGAGGAGAGCAGGGGTGCCAGGTGGGTTCTGGGCGTACCAGGGGGGCCGCTGTGTAAACTGTGTGATTAGCCCACCAGTACGCTGGCATCTGAAACCAATACCAAATACTATGGAATGCAAACTGTAATGTAAAAAATCAAACCTAATTGAAAATTTTAAATTATTTTTAAAAATGTAAAAGTTAAAAAAAAAAAGAATGCTTAGAGCATACCAAGGCAATTCATAAGGCCACTAGTGATGTTTAGCTTTTCTGCCTCTTTTACATGCACTGACAAAACTAACGCTTGGAAAGTTAGATCAGCTATTGTAGGGGATCAGGATGAGTCACCCCAAGACGTGTCTCTGTGGTATGCAGGTTATTTTGAGCTAAACTCAAGCAATAAGTTGAACACACAATACAATATACAGATGATATATTACAGAATTGTGCCCCTGAAGCCTATATAATTTTATTAACTGTTACCCCAATAAATTCAATTAAAAAAAACAATAAAATAAAAACAAAGCAAGCAAGACTTTCTAAGCCCAAGAGAAACTTCTGCCCCCTCCCCACAACTCCCTAGAAGAATCTGAATTAGGGGCCTTGCCCATAATAAGAGATTATCAAAGATAACCTTTTATTGTTAAAGATTTTATTTATTTTTAGAGATACAGGAAAGGAGGAAGAAAGAGGGAGAGAAACATCGATGTGTGAGAGAAACATCAATTGGTAGCCTCTCACATGCTCCCAACTGGGGACCCGGCCTGCAACCCAGGCACGTACCCTGACCGGGAATCGAATCAGCGACCTTTCAGTCCGCAGACCGGTGCTCAATCCAGTGAGCCACACCCGCCAGGGTCAAAGATAACCTTTTTTTTAACCTATCTGTATGGCAGGGTAATCTATTAATGACTGAATATCCGCTCTTACCGCCCTGCAGTGACACTCCAAGGTGCCGTACCTCATCCCTAGCTCAGAATGTCATGTGTACTTCATTTTCCCTTTCTGTCCCTGAATCTCTCATGTATGGGGGGACTCTGACTCATGTATGTGGGGTTCCCATGCATTCATATGTATTAAGTTTGGTTATTTTCTCTCATCTCATGTAGATTTAATTATTACACAAGCGGAAAAATCCTAGAGGTTAGAGGAAAGTTTCCTCCTCCCTCACACTATAATCTAAAATAAAGACAAAAGCCTAGACCTGAGAATACAACAAAAACCAGGTCAGAAGGCTAAACAAATTCAACGGACATTGGATTGCATAAAAATTAATGTGGCAATACTCCATAGGATGAGAGACTTGCAGCAACCCAGACATGAAGTAGTAAGGGTCCAGATAAAAGTGGTGGCAATGTAAGTGGCGAAGCATCAACTCTCCGTGGCTCCGTAAGGGAAGAAGGATTAGTAAGAGTTAGTGACTAGACGAACTGAAAAGGAGAAGTGAAAGTCACTGCTAACTCCAAAGCTGCAAGAAAATGTGGAACTTGAAGAGGGGAACCAGTCTGGTGGAAAGAGGATTAATATGGTGCTCTTTGAAATGACAGGCAGACATTTGGCGTGGCCGTGCTTTAGGTAGATTAGCCCTTAGATGAAAGGGTAAATGTGGAGGAGTAGAGTTAGGGAATTTGTGTATTTTACAGGTATGAATTTGCAAAGCTAGCCCTTTAGAAGCGATGTTAGTTCCTTCTCTCTACAGTATTCTACTTGCAACGTGAATAGGTTGCCTATGCTGTGAATAGTGAGTTCATACCATAGTGAGATGGAATGATCACATACTTCCTCATGCATTTATGCCTTCATTTTTCTTTGCAAAAGAGAAATCTATCAAAATGGGCATAATTTAACTCACTGTATTGTTTATGAAAAGAATACAAATACATTGTTCTCATTTGTAACAAGAGTTTTAAATTTAGTTCCTTGCAGCCCTAAGCTAAAAGAGGGGCGCAGACCGCTCCTGCTGGGTGGTGGGGAGGGTCATGCCACGAGCAGGCTGAGCAGTGACCCATTCCCAGTGTGACCAGAGCTGCTCTGATTTTTTCTATTTAATATATGAATTCTTGCTTTCATAATCTTTGATTTCTCTTTTCCTTCCTGCCTCCCTTCTTCCTTCCCTCTCTTCCTTTCTTGACTCACTCGAAGCCTTTTTCATTCAATCAGTTCCTCAAGGGTCTGTGGTCCTTTGTTCTGGTCAAAACTTTTCAAGAACAATAAATGGTTGGGGAGGAGCATAAGACATGAACAAGTAATCCACAAGTGTAAACAGTCAACAAAAAAGCATTTACCCCCTCTCGTAACCAAAGACCTGCATGTTAAAAAAATAAATTGAGATACCAGTTTCCAACTCCGATGGGCACTTGCGAAAGCATCGTTGAGAGGCAGGGAGAGACAGGCACTCATGAGCTGTCAGTGGGAATATAAATGGGCAGAACACTGAGGATCCATTCGAATACATACTTTAATTTAAAAATTCCAATGCGAGAAATAATATCCTAAGAAAATAATAAGACAAGTGCCTGAAGATACATATGCAGAAAGAGAAATTGGAAACAACCTAAATATGCAACATTTAATAACTGGTTAAATTATAGATCCATAATGATAAAATATTACTATTTTTTATCTACCAACATGAGATATTAGGTGAAAGACTGCCATAAAACTGTATCCTGTGTAAACAAAAATATTTATCCATACTCATTTTAAAAGTGAAATGGTAACTATCAAAGTGCTTATTGTGATTTTTATCATGATGGAATTATGAGTGACTTATTTTTACTTGTTTAGGTTTTTAAA